ACTTATTTCACTTCCCTGTGTGTCATCTGTTTCTTCTCTAAAACAAATAGCTTGGATGAGATGTGCCTAACTTCTGCTCTTACAGTCTGTAACTTGTTGTCAGCATCCATTCATTACTTTAACAGACACATGTTAACAGACACTACAGTGCTTATGCCACCAGCTTTGTGATTTGTTTATGTCACTGAGGTTCAGGTCTCATCATTTCTAACTGGAGCAGGCTGCTTTGACAGCGAGAATTAACCAAAGCGCTAGCCGCCTACTGTTAGGAATTGTGACTTACTTTCCCACATCTTCAACCCTGGATACATTGGCACAGACAGAGAAATTACACTTTTTTGTGCAGTCCCCTGGACACACATCAAGCAAGAATCTACATCATACTTAGGTTTTGTTGATAGGGAGACTCCAGAGTGACTGAGGGAAGATTGGGACTGATAGCTTGGGAGTTTACATGCATCGATTAGAAAAAGCACATGCAAGAACTTGACCTTCCCACTGCCACCAGGCTTTAGCTTTGTTCCTATAATAGGAGTTCAAAACAAAACAAAAAAGGGGGGGCTTTTTGCAGCGATTACTCTCAAAACAATAAGGAATAAGAATTTAAAGGCCCGTAAGTATAATGTTAAGACTTTTACAAGCAGAGAATAAGCTGATACGGAGCCAGTCTGGGAATAGCATTCCTGTTGCACCTGGGACACACTTCTGTATTAAGCAGCTTTAGAACAGCCAATTTCCCATGGGATGGAGCACTAATGTGTTTTGTGGCTGCCGCTCAGGCTACGCCTTGGCAGGTATTCACGCTGCACTTTTTAATTAGGTGACAAGGCAGCCTCAAGTAGTTGGTGTCAATGAAATTTACATAAGGAATGGAAAGAATTAAACAGATGCAAAGGTTACCATTTTGCACTTTTTCTTTCAACTTGTGCTAATAAAAAAGTGCAAATTGAAAACCTAAAGAAAAATAGCAGTTGATAATATTTAAGAAAGTAGTGGAATAAATAAGTTTATGCTTATAAGTACAAAGTATACCCAAAGACTTCATTTTGATAGTAAGTAGCAACAACAAAAACATAACATTTATATACCCTAAGTCTAGACTATTATGATGGGCTATAAAATGTTTACCAACTAATTAGTACTGGTTTTGTTTCTGGAGTTTTGTTTTTGTCATTTAAAGAATTAGATTTCTGGGGCTGGAGAGTTGGCTCAGCAGTTAAGAACACTGGCTGCTCTTGTAAGGACCTGGGTTCAGTTCTGAGCACCCACATGACAGCTAGCAACACCATTTCCAGGGAATCCAGTGGCCCCTTATGACCTTCATGGGCATTGTGCAGGCGCACCTATACACATGCAGGTAAAATACTCACATACATAAAATAAAAATAAATGAATTAATTTAATTTAACTCTTCTTGTATAAAGGAACTGATGGTAATTCCCATTTCCTCTTTGCTTGCTGTTATAGATGTGAATACGATCGCTGATATAGCCATGGAGATGGGAACTCAGTATTACACACTGTCTCCACAACACTACCTGCCATTCTTGTATCATTTTTGTTGGCAGTGTATCCAATTTGCTCTAATAAGTCAAATGATCCAAAAAAATGTTATGTGCTAGAATAATTCCCTTTTGAACTTACTATTCTGTTTTTTCTTCCTTGTTTCCTTATTAAACATACTTGAGAATATGTTGACATCTTTGTAAGTGGAGAATGTTTGCATCTTCATTTGAATTTTCCATTAAAAAAAAAGTCCGTAAAAATAATACAATACACACTAGAGCAAACAAGTAAAAAGCCAGTGGTTTCAAGCACAAGTTTAACAGGGTATGACGATAATACACATGACAGTGCCTTAGACCTGCAGAAATAGTAACATTAATCACAACTTGTGAACTCTATGACTTGCTTCGTGTTCATTACTTTAGTCATCTACTCTCAAGTATGTTTAA